ATCATCATAGCTTCTATGAAAATGGTGAATGAGATAGTACAACTACTGCCCTCTCTGCGAATGAGAGGGGGAAAAAAAAAAACTACTCTGTTTGATTTTGATTTTCAAAATTTATTTTTTTATTTTTCATATTTCTTTTGTTTTTATTGGATTTATTTCAATATTTTAAGTATTTCTTTTAAAAATTTTAAACACACTTAATATAAATATACTTAAAAAATATAATATTTGTGAAATTTTTTTAAAAAAATTCACTACGTACCAAAAACATATAAAAAAATACAAATATTCAGCACATTTTTTTTTGTATTTTTGTGTATTTATTAATTTTAAAAAATATTTTTTATAAATATTTTACTCTTTAGGTACATCTAAGTAAGATGCATTTAACAAAGTAAAAAATTTGCTTAAAATTTTAAAAATATTCACTACAAATGAAAATGAAAAACAAAAAACTCAATTTTTCAAAAATTGAATTCAGAAAATTGAAATTAAACACATTGAATTGTAATCAGGGAATAAATGAGCCAAACGATCAGAGGCGAGTAGTAAGTTTGGGTTAAAAATTTTAACAAATTTTAAAATTTATTAAAGTTGGGTTCGTTAAACTTTTAAGTTGATCTCAAATAAGGTTCTGTCAAGCTGAGCTCAAGTAATTTGATATTTTTATATAGTTGTAGACTTATTAAACCAAACTGAACGAGCAATCGATTGTTTAAGTTTAGTTTAAAAATTTTAACGAGTTTTAAAATATAATTAAATTTGACTTATTTACTTAACGAATTGATATTGATCAAACATTTAATCAGTCAAAATGCGAGTCGAACTTGAACTATTTGGTTCGTTTATTACTCCTAATTGTAATTTTTATAAAATTTTAAGTTAGTCAAAATTTGTTGCAAATATAATTTGTTACATGAAATATCTTTATAAAAATATAATTATTTTAAATTATTTTCTCTAAAACACAAAAATAATTTTAAAAAAAGTAACAAAGGTACTTTAGATAGAGCCATAGTGGCATGTCTCTATGAAAATGGTGTACTACATGTACTCCTAAATAATTGTACTGCTAAAACAACCTATAAAAAAACACAAAAAGAAAGAAATTATTATCAATTAGAAGGAAAATGTTTGGTGGCCCAAATTTTTGTGGGTCGAATGGTTCGAATGTGTTAAAATAATGTCATTTTATACTCAACACGATGTCAGTTTGGGTGTTTCGAGCCATTCCAGCTATGATTTTCCGGGCCACCTATCATTGTTGCAATTAGAATTCTAAGCTTGTAAACTTCGGCTATGTTTGGGATAGGTTATTTTAGCTATTTTAGTTATAAAAAGATAAAATAGATTAAAAAGTTAATAAGCTTTCGTTTGAAATGTGAATTGATTTTTTGGTTATTTTAGTTTGGGATTACAAAAATCTAATTTGGATAAGCTCTTTGGTTTTTTTGACTTTTGTTAGAAAAAATCTCAAACAAAATTTTTTAGTTTCAGGTTAAAATAGTTAAAAAATCAACCCACATTTATTTTATAAGACTCTTTATGTATGTTATTAAAAAAAAAAAAATTTTGATAATCGTAATTTATTCAATTTACCACGTTTGTATTTAAGAAAATGGACTACAAATGTATTTTTCAAAACATGTTAAAAAAAACGTGTTTTTCAAAATAGCACATTCATTTTTTATAACAAACTTAATATATTGAACAAATTATGATTATCAATAATTATTGAAACTACACCTGCAATAAATTTTATAGATTTGAATAACATACCCTTTAAATTACTTCCACTAAAACACAATTTCTCCAACCCCAAAAAAAATTAATTAAATAAATAACAAAGCAACTTTAGACAGAGCCATAGAGGCACTAACGGAGGCGCCATTATTTGTTGAGCCAAGAAGGAAAAGGGTATATGAATTACTTAATTATTTATCGATAATGCCACGTAGTTCAAATTTTGTGATTTAAAAGTAATTCAAATGGTCAAAACGACGTCGTTTTGAGTATAGAATAACATAAAAATGGCCAAAACGACTTCGTTTATTTATTTTTGATATCATTGGGCTATAGTAATACTCTTTCCTGCTTGCTCATTTTCCACATGAGAAATCTTACGGTGTGCCCCTTATAATAAAATGTGTAATTTAATGTGTACTTTCGTTATAAATTAACATTGTGAATTTTCCAAATTTTATAGTTAATGTCGTAAAAATTTATGATTTTGTTATGATATTTTTTGTTATGTCAATTTATGACCAAATTATATATTTTGTGATTGATATTACAAAATTTTATGATCAAATTATATATTTTATAATAAAATATATATAATATACACCTTTAAAAAAATGCACACCATAACATTTTCCTTTCGACATTGGTACTCTTTAATCAAGTTAATAAAAACTTATTTTTATATAACTTTTTTCACAAATAAAAATATTTCAATTAGTTCCTCTGGATAAAATCTTCAAAATCATTGAAACCCGACTATTACCACCCGGGCATTCTCTATTGGTCTATTTGGTTGATTAGAATGACACATATAGAAGGAAAATGAGTTGGACTCCCAGTGGGGTGACCTCACTACTCTCACTATTTTTTGATTGGTGAAAATATATATATATATATATTTTTTTTCTAAGTTATGTTTGCACAGCCCCCCACGTGGAGGTGAGGGTGCTGGGGATCACCCCCATTGGGTATCCCAGCAGCACTGCTTTTTATTTTATAGGTCTTATTTTGGATAATCTCATACATAATAATCATTCTCTTAGAATGATGAATCACGATTTTATTTATAATATATATATTTTATTATTATTTTAATTAACTAAATATGAAAATAAACAATTTAATAAAATGATTATTTTATTTTATTTTGTTTCAATGAATCAAAAACGTTAATTACATGTCAAAATTATTTTCTTCACGCATGTAAATTGTGTGATTGAGAGGTGTTTTGAGAAGATGGTTAAAAATTACCTTTTAACTTTTAATCAAGTTTTTTGACTTTTTCAAAAAGTTATTTGGAAAATTGATAAAAAGTTATTTTTTGACTTTTTGACATAATATTTGTTTATACTGTCACATCATAATCAAATGATCAAAATACCCTCACCCAATTTAGAAAATTTACATTTTTATACATGTGACTCATTTTGCAACTAGAGGGTATAGCTATAATTTCACAAGTAGCTTTTAGTTACCTTCCCAAATGGTTTTGAAACAAAAAAAAAGCAAGTTTTTAACTTTTTTACTCAAGTTGCAAAACACAACTTTTATCTTTGTTCTCAAATGGCACCTGAGTGTGGTTGAAGCAAGTTAGTTTTTATTTTTTTTTATTCAACTTATGTTAATCATGTATGAAGCATGAATTATTGGGTTGGTAATCCTTTTATTAATCGATGTAGAAAATTATTACATTTCACTGTGCCAAGTTTACCAAATCAAAACTATTTTGTTGATGTTTTGGATGAAGTGCTTTTTTATTAGGTAAACTATTTGAGTTTGACCCTTATCATTATTTTATGTAATTTTTTTTATACTGATTATAAAATAATAATAATTTAAAATTTTATGAAATTATTTTACTAGGTTAGATTTGGTATTATTTTAAAAACTTAAATAGTAAAAAAATAAAAATAAAAATGCCTACAAAAAATCAGCAAACCAAGTTAATGACTGATTTTTTTTTTTTTAGTTGAAAAAAGTTAATAATGTATTTGAGAATAACTTTTAAAGAGTAACAAACAAAAAATGAATGATTGAAAGCAATATTTTGAAGATCAGACCGACCAATTGACCCATCAGCTGATCTAACTTGAAAACCAAACAAAATATAAGAAAGGGTCCATCAGCTGATCTAACTTGAAAACCAAACAAAATATAAGAAAGTGACAAACAAAAAGATATAACAAAGCGCCCACCGTGGGGCTCGAACCCACGACCACAAGGTTAAGAGCCTTGCGCTCTACCAACTGAGCTAGACGGGCTTTGCTTGTCTTTCTCCTGTGTTTCAATTATTTGAAGATTCAATATTTGCTTACATTTTAAATTTTCCCCTTTATTACTTTTTATTGGGATTTCATTGTAGCTTTTTGTTATTAATTTCTATTAATACCTAAACAATCTTCATCAGAAAATTGCATTTATCAATTTTAATGAATTGAGATATGTAATTGTGAAATTTTGAAGTAACAATTTTGCTATGTTTCATTCCGTGTTTAAAAAATGAAATCAAACAGTGTAATTGGCACTCACAAGAAAGAGATTTTCTTATCATAAACTAGTCAATTATCAGTCAATAATAATAAAAAATATGGCTAAAAAGAAGCAATTTTTTGTCAAAAATGATGGGATAAAAGACACATTGTGTAAAAGAATTCATGCATCAGTCAATCCCTTTATGCTGTGTTTGGTTGGGGGATTTGAGGAGGGATTTGGAAAGGAAAATGGAAAAGATAGGTGAAATGTGAATAAAACATGCTTAAATTTCACCTAGTTTCACACACCTTTTCTCTTTCTCTTTCCAAATCTCTCCCCAAATCTCCCAACCAAACACAGCATTAGGGTTGAGTTTGGATAATGAATTTGGGTAGAAATTTGAAAAGAGAAAGATAAAAGGTGGATGAAATGTAGCTACTCATAATTTACCAACATTTTTCTTTTCCATTTACAAATTTTTACCCAAATCCACGATACAAACACAATCTATGTGTATTAGAATTTTCATTTACACGCATTCATCAATACATCAAACATTTACGTGCTGAAAATTTGCGTAGTTTGATCATCCTCAACAGATCACTATCATTGTTATCAATACTCCTCACATGCTCTCAATTATTAGCTCTAACTTTAGCTTTCTACAAGTAGCTCACTTTAATCTTAAAAGGCACAAGAACACACAAAAACAACACAAGAAGAGCACAAAGTATTATGAATGCAGGGAAAATAAATTTCACCTGCTTATTACAATGCTGTCTCCAAAAAAAAGAAAAAAGTTCTTTTTGTTATTGATAATTCAATATCATACATCAGTACATCTAGGAATGGTATAGCATCTCCACCTCATACACCATGAATATCTTTTTCCAAAAGAAAAAAAAAGAGACACAACATAAATAAAAAAGAGGGTCTATAAGTCCAAAAACCTAATTGCTGTACAATGTGAATAAATTTTAAAGGAGGACTGTAATTTGCCTTGTCTCTTTCCCGTAAACAATACTAATTACACAATTAATCAGAAGAAAAAACTAATTTATGTGTATAATCAAGAAATGGAGACGGGGAAGGAACTTGATTTAGCTGCTCAAGTCCAAACAAGTTCGTCTAAAAGATCATCAAATATCATGTCCTCGAGCTCTAGCCCCACACACTCGGCTTCAAATTGGAGATTCATCCACCTGTCACCCTTTGCTAGATCGCGGCTTATGGTATCATCTAATGATGGATCAGCCTCCGGTTTCCAGCTCAAATACCCACTTATATTCATCCAGACCACTTCAAGGACTTGGTGTCCCATTGGGACTGGACGAATATGGGAAGTCAAAGACAACAATTTGGGGCAGTATGTGAACGATCTCTCATAAATCTCTAATAAAACTTCATTGACTAGATCGAACAAGAGGAGGTGATTTGAGTTTCCAATTTCTTCGTTTTCAGGGCAGTCCGGCTCTGCTAACAACCAACCTTCCACTTCCTCAAACATGGATGGGTCCATTGGCTGGTCAGGGGAATGCCACATCCCTAGTAACTCATCCCTGGTGAATCCGGATAGTTCTAGAACATATTTTACGTAATTGAATTTAGCTGTGTCTTTTGTATTGACTAGAACGCGTAAGAATTCATTATTCAATTGGTCGATGGAACTTTGCGTTGTATTAAGGTTTACTAGGATGCTTTTGACCGCAACAGGGGAATCCATTCCTGCCTCTTGTATCTGATTGGCCAAATAATCTAACGACTCCAATTCATCAGAAAAGAGGCTTCTTGGTTTTGATGCCGAGTCTGCTTCTTCAAAACAAATCATAAAACATCCATTTTCGGCCAAATAACATAAAGATAGTGAGAAGAGGATTGATATTCACTAAATCAATAGGGACACCAAGTTGAAATAAGTAAAATGTGAACAAGGTACCAAATAATATTGTTTTGTACATATGTATGAAAGTTAAACTTGATGCTAATTATCAGAACAATTCAGTGCATGACATTTCTAACTCATCTACAAAAATATAATGTTAAAACAAGGGCAAAAGATTTTGAAATTTAGTAATCGGGCCACATTGTTTCCTCCTTAAGTATGTAATCCAGTGAAGGGATATCACACAAGGAATGTGAAATCTATGACTTAAAAAGTATACCCTTCTCTATTATATGATAAACTGATACTTTTGACCAAATCATTGCATGTGTGCGGGAGAGTGTGTGTGTGCGAGCATGGAACAAAACTTCGTCTCATTTCCATCGACATGGATGAAATATTTCTATATCTGGGGAAACCAACATGAATCGTTAATGGAACACTGAAATTCCAATGTTTTCACCAAAACATACTAAAAACTACAAAGAAATTGTTTCGACACCTATTAGGAATGTCCAACAATGGCCATTTCTATTTGCACATATTTGTCAAAGATTTGAGAACAATTTTTTTAGGGAATTTGAGAACTAGGAAGGAGAAAATGAAAATGGAGAGGAGAAGTAACAAAGAGAAAATGGATATACCTTCAGACAATGAGAGCGTTGTTGGGCTGGCCATATCCTCTGGAGAGGAGTCCTCCACAGAATCTGGACATGGTTCTTCCAGCTTACTAACAGGTCTCATTGTGTCCTGAATCCCATTCTCGTGTTGAGCATCATTTTCTGTCGTTTCCAAGCTTCCCAAATCATCAGAAGTAAAACCCACTTCACCATTTGCTTCCTCATTCATGAATGATCTTGATCCCACATCATCTTTGGCAACATGATTCAATTCACCATCTACTGAGTTGTTTTCACTATCAATTTCTACAGAGGCATCTAACAGAGTCTCATTTTCTGAGACTGCAGGAAGGTTCGATGTCTTCCATTGATCAAACCTACTACCGACTGTATTTACATTGCTGTTCACATCTGGAGAGTCCTCATGTTGGAGATAATAGTATGATCTAAGATTAGGTAATGAAAGAATCCTTCCTAGGGTTTTTGGACTTCCACTAGGTGAAGGTGTCTCTTCTGTTCTCAATTTTAGTCTCTCAGATATATGGTGTTTGGCTTCTGTGTTGAAACTGGCCTCATATAACTGGCGATATCTATCCATTGATTCATTGAAAGATGATGTTCTTCTCATGTCTTGAGGTCTACCCTTGCCATTTCTTTCACAGTTACATTTGCCCATGAAATCAGGAATGTCGTCCCTCACATCCTTAGAGACTTTGCGGCCATAAGGAATTTTGTGAAGGACAGCATCCATGGTAATCCGATGCCTTTCTTTCCTACTCTCTTTAATTGCACGCTTTATCTTTTGTTTAAGATTCATGAAACGTTTCATAACCATCCTGTTGTCTTGTCGACTCTTCAGCCCAGAGGTTGATGAACCAGTAGAAGAGCTATCCAACAACTCGGGACTTGCCACGTTTGGTTTTGGAACACCATCGATCTTGGATTCAGACAGGATTGGCATTGAAGATTCACCTGCATCTTTCATAGACTCAAGTTCAGCCAACTGTTGAACTTGACTTCCAACTTCTGTTTCCTGCTCATGCTTGAGTTTGATTGGCCTGGAACCACTTCTGCCAGATGAGCCAGGCAAAGGAAATGACTTAGACTTGGTGAATCCTATCTTCGATTTGAATGCCAGTTGACCATGGAAATAGTGTGCCAATGGAGAATTTGGGTCTTGTAAAACTTTCAAAAACAGCTCCTTGTTCATGTGGAATAAATCAAAAACATCCAGAAACTGCTTGGACTCGTGGAATGAAACATCTATGTTGGACTCCTTTGCATTTGCGAGTTTATATGTTAATAAATCTTGCTTTGCTTTGTTTAACATGTCCTGGAGAAGTGTGTCATTGTCAACTGGTTGCTTCCCATGCTCACCATCCCAGCCGTGCCCCATGTAATTCATAGTAAGCATTGCAGCACACAACTCGCACTTTTTGTCGCTGGTTATTGGTTCCTCAATGGCCTTTAATGTGCTGGGAAGAGAAGAGTTTTCATTGTCTTGGTGAACGATCACCGGAGAAGCATCTTTTGAAGCACCTTCAGCAAGTGGGTTCGAATCTGAAGCAGCTACTAAATGATGGATGGAATTTGTTCGTGTCAGTAGCAATCGTGTGGGATAGGAAGAACTTCTGCGATGTCGACCCTTTCTCTTGGACATTTCCTCTGAAATCAAAGCCTTTATTCGAGATTTCACAGAGCTCTTGGTAACTGGAGTAGCTTCTGTTGCCTTTTCTTGAATCTGAGAAATTTCAAATTTAGATACTTAACATCTAAGAAGCGCAGACACTTCAATTGAGGAGGCATCCAACATGACACTCTTGAAAAGCGTGTCTAACACTTCTTCAATGTGTCTTAATTGAAATTTTAAATTCATAGTATCGGACACTTTATAGACACTTCTCGGATACTGCAGCGACACTTCTTGAACCCTCTGAATACGATCTATGTAATGAATCTCTTCACTCTCTAAATATGTTTTGAAACATTTATAAGATGCATAAATTATATGTATTTTAATGTTTTACAATTGTTTTGCATTCTTTAGATTACAATTGTTACATGAATGACATCTTAATGTTTAAGTTATGGAATATATGAAATTTATAAATAAAAAAATGTAAAAATAAAAATTAGCATGTCCCAGACGTATCTTGTCCTGCAATTTTTTCAAAATCAACATGCAAACTTGTGCTAGTTAGACCACTATTAATATCATTTATATATTTATAAATTCAAAAAATGCTACAAACATCATATTACACAGACTTACAAGGGAGTTGTTTGTTTCAGCATCAGCATTTTTTTGCATTTCGCCAGCATTGGTGGCATTTATATTGTTTCCTGGATTTCCATCCCATACAAACAACAAAAGGGGTTACCAATTAAGAAAAGGAAGCATATACTTTTCTACCTTCCACTATTATAAAATTTCAAATTTGTGATTAAAAACCACAAACTTGACACAATGCAACAAGGTTTACAACAGGTTGAACTATGGAAACATCACAGCAATCTTCATTTGAGTACATAAAACCTAATGTACTGCTTACCTATGGCATGCCTTGGGCCACCAAGCCTTTTATGCAGAAGCATTTTCTTTTTGACTTGTTGCCAGCGATGGTGGTGAAGAACATGAAGTATGCCCCACATGCATCCTGGATGATTGTTCGGTATTGAAATGGCAGTATCTTGGTTCTTACCCATTTTGTTTCAACGAACACTAATGAACCTAAGGAACTCACTTTAGTGGTTGCAACAATTGGATTCATTTACAAGCTTCCAAGTTTCCTGACCTAATACAAATCATAAAACCCTAAATTAAGCACACTGCACCAAAGAGGCTAAAGATCAAGACCACGTTAATACTTGTATTCAATTACGTTTTTAAATCAGCATCCATAAATAATTGTACATGGTTGTACTGTGCCAAGCACCAAACCAGTTGACATGCTAATATACTGGTGGAAAATATGTTCATCTTGGAAAGAGAGATTGTAAATAGATTATTACATATGAATTGGTCACTCACGTTTTACATGTGATTTCAACACAGAAATTCATCACCTGGAATGGATACATCAGGAAAATATTAGCCATCACAAAATTGATTTTTATTTTTTATTTTTTATTTTTATTTCCAAATCTTTAATTTAAATCATATCAAAAACATGTAAAAGTGACCACATACATAAGAAGAAATATGGCAAAGTCTCGTGTTTTCTGTACTTCTAACTAAATGCCATATAAACTGTGAATGGGGTCATTCAAATTCAGATGTCAGGGCGGACCCTAAATGATTGAACGTTTCTCGATGATGCTAATCTCATAATTGTGCAGGCTACCATTCATTTTAAAGAAAATATACAAGTATATAAATAGATTGTAAAACAATTTCATCGAATGATGATATATATCATGTAAATGTTGCAAAAAAATCATGCCAATGCTTGCATTGTAATGGGTCCAAATAGAATTTTTCCCTAATAGAAACTCAATGGGCTATTGCCTTGAAATGAGAAATGATGATCTCCAATCCCCATCGAAATTTGATCAAAATGTAATTTTCAGATTGGCTGCAAAGAAAATTTCAAAGACCAAAAACAGAGTTAAAAAGGAACCTGATAAAATCATTAGGGTTATTTGAAGAGTTGGCTGTTTCATTGATTAGAACCCAGAAACAGAAATTAGCAAGACGAGAAAATTAAGATCATTTTCCTTCATTTTCTTGCAAAACAAACGGTCATAAGGATAGAATGCAGCCCAAGTAAATTAGCATTTCTAATTCTGAAGATAGCAGCAGAAGATGCAAATAAGAAATTTCAGATAATGAATGCATACAAAGGCATTTACAATTCAATGAGATATACCTTTGAGGGAAGAGTGAATTGCTGAAAGAAAGTGCTTGTGCTGCTGGTTTGCCATGGTTAGAGGTCCAAACTCCAAAACGAGAGAGAGGGAGAGATTGTGGGATGATGGTTGTTGTGTGGGAAGGAAAGAAGAGAGAGGAAAAGGGCGTTAAGTTGGTTAATTGTAGATTTGACTTGAGTTGGGTTTTTGGGATTGATGGATGAATGGATGATGCGGAGAGTTGCAGAAATAATTCAAGCCATTGTTTTCGGGATGTGGTTTTTTTTTTTGGGTTTTTTTTTCTTCTTCTTCTTTTCTTTGTGTGTGTGTGTGTGTCTGTGATCGTGATCGTGATCGTGATCGTGATTGTGGGATTTTTGTGAGTTTCCCTCACATTTATTATACCTACCTTTTGGCGCCATTTATCCTCCAACCACTCCACCCCTCCACTCTCTCTGTCTCTCTCTCCCTCCTTCCTTGTGAACATGTTGCTTTGGAATTTGTATGGTGTGTGTGTGTGTGTCTGTGATCGTGATCGTGATCGTGATTGTGGGATTTTTGTGAGTTTCCCTCACATTTATTATACCTACCTTTTGGCGCCATTTATCCTCCAACCACTCCACCCCTCCACTCTCTCTGTCTCTCTCTCCCTCCTTCCTTGTGAACATGTTGCTTTGGAATTTGTATGTTTGTGAACACAAATTTTAATTTTTAAGATTAATTATACTTTTTATTTCTATAATTTAATTCAGATTTTACTTTTATCATTTTAATTTTAAATTAAACAATTTGGTTCTTATATTTTAAATCTAGTTTTCATTTGATTTTTTTATCTAAATTTCTGTTTACATGTACACTTTAAAAAATTGACACATATTTTAAAATTACAGCTTGTTTGGTTCCAGTTTTCAGAAAATTTTATTTTTTTATTTTTCGTATTTTAATATTTTTAATAATTTTTTTTAAAAATTTTTAGACACACCTAACATAAACGCACTTAAAAAGTATAATATTTGTAAAAAAAATCTTTAAAAAATACACTAAATATCAAAAAATATAAAAAAATACAAAAATTTAGTACATTTTCGTTTTTGTGTATTTATTAATTTTTTAAAATATTTTTTTTACAAATATTTAACTATTTAGATACATCTAAATAAAGTGCATCTAAAAAAATAAAAAATTTACTTAAAATTTAAAAAATATTGACTAAAAATAAAAAAATACGAAAAATAAAAAATTTAATTTTTAAAAAATTAAATTCAGAAAACTGAAACTAAACGCACTTAATTTTCACTTGTAGTTTCAATAGAATGACTAAATTAAAACTATACAGTAAATTTTTCTTATATTATCTCCAAATGCAGAAATCAAATTGTTAAAACAGCCATAGTTTTTTCTTTTTGTTTTTTTTTAATAAAACAAAAACAAAAATAATGCGTTTCCAACATAAGGAATAAATACAGGAGCATGAAGGACAATTGTGGGGGACAACGTGGTACAGTGGTGGCTTCATGAAGTGGACTACAAGTAGGAAAATTGAAGAATGTAACCAATTTGGAAACATAGTTAATTGTGAGTTTTTAACCCATTTTGAGTTATATTATATTTTATATTTTTTACATATTTTTTTAAAAAAAATTAAAATATTAATTTTTAAACATTTTTTCAAAACACAACATATGTTCTTTTATTTATTTATTTATTTTTTAAAGGTAGTGAGCACCTAGTACAATTAAGAATTTTAACTTTGTAGCAAAAGGTTTTCGTACTTTTGGCCACTTTATCCAACTTGGATAGATCTTTGCATCTTTTGTATGACAGGTATAGGATGGCGGTGTTTGTTTGGAATTTTTTGAGTTAATTCATAATTTTTAATTTTGAAAAAATTATTTTGGGCTGTTTGGTTAAATTTATTTTCAAACTACTTCTGATTCTAATAATTTATTTTAATTCAAAAAAGTTGATTCTGAGAAGTTACTTAATCCTTATTTCTGATTATCAACTTTTGCTGTGGACATATTAATTTATGATGGTACTCTTAGTTTTTTTTTGTTTTTTTTTAAATAGAAAAAGACCCAAAGAGACTATAGATTATTATTATTTTTTTATGAGAAATGTAGACAAGTAGTGAATAACAAAAAAATAAAAGTTAATTGAAAAAGTTACTTCACGACTTATTTAACAAATATTACTTAGCAACTTAAATCTATAATTCAACAGATACACCAAACATATTAACAGTTTCTGATTAAAATCATAATCTATAATCTGTTAAGTTATAATATATAATCTATTTTAATAGCTACACTAAACGGGACCAATGACTCTACATATGTGGAAGATAGAAGGATATATCAGGTGATATACGCATCACATGAGATAAAATATATATATATATATATATATATACGCGTTACATAAAAATCTCTTCTTGAAACAAATAAATAAATAGATGGTTAATATTGGAATTAGAGATAGAGAAGAAAAAAATATTGAAGAACACTTAATAGACCTGGTTTTTGGCCAGCTTTTGTGTTGAATAAGTAATATCACTATTATTTTGATATAGTGGGGTGTTTTAGGAAGTTGGTAAAAAGTTGACTTTTGGCTTTTTATCAAATTTTTTGACTTTTTTGGAAGTGATTTGGGAAGTTGGTAAAAAATTGACTTTTTTGATTTTTGGTTTAATATTTTTTAAAAGTGTCACATCACTCCAAAATGACTAAAAGATCCTTACTTTTTTATTTTTGAATTAATCAATTAAAATTTTCTAGAAGGTAATTTGGTAAATTTGGGTATTGCGTTTTTGGTCTTCCCAAATGGGATTTGGGGCGTTTTGGGCAACCTGGCTTTTTGGCAACACACACAAAAAGCTGCGTTTTTGGTGTGTTGCCAAAACGGCACAGTAGTGTCTCATATGACATTAACGGACCCTCCTTGTAAGCACTAATTCCATAGAGCCGATGAAATGATACCAAAATGTAGTATTCAAATGAAATGATTCATGCGGTTCTATCATCAGTTTTTGTCTTCATAAACTTTTTTAAATTTGGAATACCATGGCCAAGTAATGATATTGCTTTACAAAAAATATCAGGAATCCATCCTTAGGGAGCCCGAATGTATTTGTGTGGCAGAGATTGAATTAATAAAATGTGGCGTTCATATATAAAATAAATCTAAGTCATTGATTTCTTTTCTTTTTTTTGGATAAATTCTAAGTTAATAAAGGTGGGTTTATAGTATTGTTGTTGCTTTACATGATACAGGAACATATGTATGTATTTTTTTGGTACAAAAGGCCCATGGAGTTACAATATAGGCCCAGGCCCATGTCAAAACGTGTATCAGAATATCACTCCTGGGCTTTGCTCTCAATCTTTGGAGTCCTATCTCCCAACCCCAGGGGATAGAGAATAGTGTTATGAAGAGATTAATTTAATTAGTCGAGTGCTCGGAGGCAGTGTTTGTTTTACTAGAATGTTGTTCGGTAAAATGAAAGAAATTCTTTAATATTCACAATTGAACTCCATTCTTTCTTCTTTTTTTTATTTTTTTTTGGGGTGGTTGTTATGGGTAGTTGATTAACTTCAAATAGGTTCTTCTTTTCTTTTGTTTTCTTTTTTACAAAAATTTGGAAGGAAAGGAAAATACAAAATTATCTTATGTTTTTTTTCCCTCCGCAAATCTCTTTGCAAATTCAAAATGTAAACATAGTTTAATAATCTAACCACAAAAATGCAGCTTAACTAGTTCATACAAGATTTGAATTTGAAGGAGCTTGTTGCATGTGAAATAAATGCCAGTTTGTGGAAATTAATGAAAGTCAAAATATATGAATTGTTGTTTGGTTTGTCATCATTGACAAAGTAGGAGTTAAATTGTCAATTACACTCGATTTGTGCCCACCCAACACAGATTTGAGATCTTTTAGGCAAAAGGGTTGGAATAAAATAAAATAAAATAGACGTATTATATATGTAATAATATTAAGTGTACAAAAAAAATTAATATGTAATTTAGGTTCTCCGCCCAGAATAAATTTAGACCGCACATTAATACTTTTACATACATAGTATTATGATGCTATATGCAATAGATTTTTTGTAAGTGACCGTTCTATCTATGTTAAAAATGATTTATGAGTGCTTATAGAGCCCCCCAAAAAATTTATTTCTTTTTTGTTGATTTGTCAACCATTCCTCTAAGGTGATTTTTGGAGAGAGTTTGACGTCTTAACATAAAAATTTTGTACTAGATTTATGCTTTAAAGGGTAATACCAAACTCTGAAAGATAGTGAGTGTCGCAAGAGCAGATGGTGGAATCTAAAAGGAGATAAAGTAGACACGTTTAATAATAGAATGGATAAAGAAAGTACTTGGGACATGGAAGATGATGCTAACACTATGTGGAACTCGATGGCCAATTACATGAGGAAAATCTCAGGAGAAGTTCTTAGAGAGTCGAAAAGAATTGGACCCAACTATAGGGAAACTCGGTGGTAGATGGAGGAGGTCTAAGTGGTAATAAAGACGAAAAAAAAAGAGCTCTAAAAAGTGGTAGAGTGACAAAACTGAGAAAAACCTTAAGTGTTATAGATTAGCCAATAAGGAGATTAAAAAAGTAGTAAAAGAGACTAAAGAGGGAGAAAAAAGAATATACAAACTTGCTAAGATAAGAAAGGTGTTAGCAAATGATGAAAAAATTAAGGAGTGATGGAATAACTATTTTGAGAAGTTGTTAAATGAAAAACATGGAGGTAGGTCAAAAGGGAAGGAAATAGGCAGTAATAAGGAAAATCAGGATTATAGGTTCTATCGTAGAATTAGGGACTTTGAAGTAGAGTTTGCATTTAAGAAGATAAAATTGAATAAGGCTTTAGGACACGATAATATACCTATTGAAGTGTGGAAATGTTTGGATAAGAAGGGGGTTGTTTGGTTGACTAAATTATTTAACAATATTTTTGTCACGATCCAAACCCGCCCATATAGGTTTAGTATCGTAATCGGCCAGTAATCCTTGGACTACCGAAGGCCTCTGAACAGATTAACAAAATTAAGGGGGCTAGCAGAAGCAAATACATAAATACAGTTATCCAATGAGCTATGCTGACTTATATGATACAGAATATTTAAAAACTTTATATACATAATCAAAAGTCACTCATACATTATACCCACACACATATTACAGTATCTTAAGTCCAGCCAACAGAATTAAATTAAGTCATACATATACACAGAACCAACAGAACTTGAACACAGGACACTTCGGGAACCTCCACGTGAGGCACAATGGTTGGCTGACAACAGAACACAGATCCAGACAAAAGCCTTCAGGCTCGGGCTCCAGAATGCTCACCTATACAT